GTCCAGCTGGAGAAGGGCAGAGACCAGCGGCTGGGGCAGGCCAGGGATGGGGGGGGGGGGACAGGTAAGCAGGGGGATTGGGACAGGTGAGTGAGGGGTTGGGAGACAGGTGGGCAGGAGATGGGGACAGGTAAGTGGAGGGATGGGGACAGGTGAGCACAGAGGATGGGGAACAGGTGAGGCGGGGATTGGGAGACAGGTGGGTGGGAGATGGGGACAGGTGAGCCCAGGGGATAGGGACAGATGGGGGATGGGGACAGGTGAGTTGGGGATTGGGAGACAAGTGGGCAGGAGATGGGGACAGGTGAGCGGGGGATGGGGACAGGTGAGCGGGGGATGGGGTATAGGGGGATGGCTGGAGGTATAGGGGGCTGGGGGGCTGGAAGGGGGGCTGGTCCCAGAGGGACGATGGCCGAGTGTAACACAAGGGTCGGTTTTGGCCCCGTTTGTATTTTGGGCGGGGTGTCAATGGGGCCAGAGCCCCAGCGGGCAGGAACTGGCTGTCGCTCTGTGGACGTTCCCCATCTCATTCACACCAGGGCCTTTCCCCTGTGTAAATCCCATCGCCCCGATCTTGGCCTGAATCCAGCCCCCGAGACTGGATTTCTGCTTGTTGGGCCCAAATCCCGCCCAGAGGACAAAATTCCAGCCGCTGCTGGTGAGATGCAGGCAGGCTGGATTATTGGTGCATGACAGTGAGGTGACACCAGCGAGACGCCCGAGCGCCAGCACCATGTGGATTGGGGGGAATGGGAGACCATCGATAATCATCAAATGCCATCATTCACTGCAAGGCCCAGGTATCACCGTGCGTCTGTGCAGCACCCGGCGTGATGGGGCCCCGAGCTTGGTCAGGTCTGGGCAGCGCCCGGCGTGACGGGGCCCCGATCTCGGTTGGGGTCTGGGCAGCGCCCGTCGTGACGGGGCCCTGATCTCGGCTGGGGTCTGGGCAGCGCCCGGCGCGAAGGGGCCCTGATCTCGGCTGGGGTCTGGGCAGCGCCCGTCGT